AGATAGTGATTTTCCAAGCGTAGCTCAGACCGAAAAGTAGGGGGCACCCAGTGAGAATCGAACTCACTACTCAAGTGATTTTCTAAGCTTAGCTGTGGCACGAGGCCGAAAGTATGGGGCACCCAGTGAGGATCGAACTCACTATTCAGTCGTAATTGTTCTAGCGAGACAAGCTTGCTAACCATTACACCACCTCGAGGTGCCCTATCTCTTTAGATATCACACTATAGTAGCACCCACTGATCTTTCTGCAGACCATTTTCTTTACGCTCTCGATGTTTCCTGGTCTGTTTCAGCAAGACAATGAAAATACCCATATGCGGATGATATAAGATGTTCCAGCAACACGAGATTGACATCCAGGAAATTCATTTGCCTCACCAGTCAAAAACCCCATTGAGAATATGTTACAGACCTCGTTAAATTCTCTGCAGCTACACCCAACAAGCACAACTCAATTATGGATAACTCTGAAATGTGTTTAGATAAATATAACCATTCAACGACTCAAGCACCTCGTAGACTCCATTCCACGTCACGTAACAGTTGGTAAACAGTCAAAGGGACGAACATCGTTATCAGGTTGCTGTCGCTAATTTTAGGGTAACTATGTGTGCATAGACATACGCATATACAATGTACATATCTAAGTAAGTAAAGTATGTATGAATTGAATTGATGTATTGAACTGAACTAATTCCGTACTTTTGTTTTATTTATGAAGGTCATTTTTTTAATTAAAAAGAAGGCTAACAATAAGTGTACAATTATTAAAAAATACTTCGCTGCTTTGACTTTATTTGCAGGACACTTAGGCAAAACGAATAACAACCACCAATCTTGACATCCATGTCACTATCTTATGCGAACACATTGGTACATCTCGTTGTACTATCAGATAAGTCCACGAATAAAGTTAATGTTCTAAAATTCCGTACCTGCTTTAAGAGCACAATCTATTCTCTCTCCCCCGTTCTCTCTCTTATTTACCCATCGCCACACACCTGAACTGGATTTCTTGAACATGAATTCTTAGGAATACAATCTCAGCAACTTCTTAGCTGTTCTTTCGTGAATCTACTTTTCTTTCTTTCTTTTTTTTTATTCCTCTTTCTTTTTCTTTCTTTCTTTTTCCTTTCTTTTTCAAATCTCTTTTTCTTCTTTTCCCTATTAAAAAATTCTCTGACCGATTCTTTCTTTCTTTCTTTCTTTCTTTCTTTCTTTCTTTCTTTCTTTTATCGTTTCTTTTTCGTTTTTAAATCTCTTTCTCTTCTTTTAACTATTTCTTTCTTTCTGTTTCTAATTTTCGCTCTGTACTTTTTCTTTAACATTTAAAATTTAATCTGGGTTTTCTTTATTTCCTGTTTGATTTCTTTCTTCTAAATTTATATTTTACGCTTAGTTTTTTTAATTTTTTATTTTAACATCCTCAAAGAATGGGCCATAATGTTTTTAAATTGTAGACATTTAAACAAATCAATTCTTTCTTTTCTCATTATCATACGTATAAAGTACTAATCACAAGTATACAACATAACTGTCGCCACTCATATACCTTCGTATTCAATTACATATACACACGTAACGATTTATAGCTTACACATTGCAATATACACCTACATACACAATGACATATACTGCCTGTATAGTGTCCACATTTTCTTTCCGTTGCGCACATGCACATATAACTACATACATACAAAGAGAGTATTTTGAATCTTTCACGTTATCACATATATGTCAACACTATATGCCTGCATTTATTAATTCAATACTCTAACACTCCTAGTGCAGTTACTCGAAATTTACAAATGTTAGAACAACCCTATCCTAACATTTTCTTGTGTTCACCCACGCGTATATTTATCTGCACTTATATGCCAGCCTATATTAAACAGTTACCCACCCCACTACAATGCTACCCACATAACCATATTTAAGTTAACAAAGATATCTTTCCCATACCTACAAAACACACAAATATTTAGATTGCCTAGACGTATAAAACCTTGTCTTGTTATTTCAGGTTTACCGGTTTTCATAAATAGGAAATATACAAAATAAAAAACTATACATTTTTTAAAAAGCTATATCAGTTATGTGCCATGCGTGATACACGCTTAGGCGATCATGTATCTTTCGATATACGACTCACGAGGCAGTAGCTTACCATTTCTTTCTGCGGTAGACCAGTTGCCATCCAAGGCTATAGAACCCAGTCTGTCATGCTACTTACAAATAGCTGCGGGGGGAGAAAAAGAAGAAGATTTATACCTTTCCCAAGGGTATTAGCACGCAAGTGAATGTAATGGATTCGACTGGAATTCGAACTCGGCTTTCCAATTCCACAATCCGAGCCGATATCCATTACTCCACGTTATTTAAGTAGACACCGTGCAACGAAAGACATTATTTCTTGTTAGTTAATATGATTGTATAAAAGTCCTTAGTTTCATCAAGACTCGCCATACTATGCACATTGTAGAGAACCATCATCATTTCCTTTGGGTGCTCTATAGTTTCAGTCTTGTGCCACACCTCAGCTACGTTGTCAATGAGCACAATCTCTATGTGCCACTCGTACAATACTATTTCGTTTCTGATTTTTACAGTCTTGTTTAACTACTTTGCCATGTCCTGAAAGGACATGAGCGATTATGGCTCTCCACAAGTTCCCATTCTTTGTAGCTCTAAGCAATATTTGTATCCTTACATGTTTAATCATCAATTTACATAAACTCACCAGGTAGGTTACTCAATGTATCCCTCGGCCTCTCTTGCCTTCAGTATGTCCTGTGAAGGTAAAATTCTCCAAACCTTCTTTCCTTATTATGTGTCGTATAAATTTAAACTGTCTCTTTCTGATTCTAGGTAAAAATGTTCTTTTTGTTCCCACTTTTCTTAAAACTTGCTCGCATATTTTGTCCGGGATATTCTCAGCATCCTTCTATAGAGCCACATCTCTCTTGCCTCAAGCCCCTTCTTCATCTGTGTCCAGCGTTTATTAAAAAATTGTTATGTCTTTTTTGGAGCAACCACAATTGGAAATGAATCGTCGTTAGTACGAGATTACCGAATTTGTACACATTTGCGCTGTAGAAAATGGCATCTAGATAATTCTACACATTATAACAGGCAACATATTGTTGAGATAATCCTGTAACAACTAGGAAGAGTCACCCCAGAGTCGACCCTGAATTTAGTCCAGTCCTGATGAATAGTTTTACTAACAATGACGTTTCTTTACTTGCACTGATACTGGGACTAAAGCTCACCCCAGACCTAAAGTGGGGCTCCTATATTCGTACCATCGATAATTATGTCAGAAGAATGGCCGGATTCTTGTACCGCTCCAAGAAGTGCTTAGTTCTTTCTATCATGCCCTATCTTTACAAGTGTGAGATTAGACCAAAAATGGAGCATTGCTCTCATATCAGGATTAGAGTTGTCTGGTCCTCACCTTTCACCCATGCGTTCAAAAGCGATTTCCACCTTGCAACCATTTTCTCCACAAATGAAAATTTGCTAGCCTCTTGTTACTCTATCGTTATTTCCATAGCAAGTGTTCAGACGAGCTACATTGCTTACTCCCACCAGTTCAAATCTGTACAACTAGGATCCGCTATGCCACGTACACAGGGTCAACTCATCCGTATTTCCTTCGTATTCCATTAATAAGGAGGAAGTTCCATTGAAGAAGCTTCTTCCTCAGAACTATTTATTTCTGAAAAAGATTCCCATGAAGATGTTTCTCCGATCACTACTATCATATCTCGGATATCCATCCTAAATATCATAATATGCACTCTTTACTCCCCCCTCCCTTACCATAACCCCGTTCAGTAGCTTTCTACCTTTAGCGGAATTTAGGCCTTGTACTGATTAATAATATAAAAATAAAAAGTTCAAAATCGTCTCCGAGTCCTCCTTACCACCTTTCTCTTACAGACGGGACGTGACGAATCTCTCATTACTCTATCGCTACTGCCATGGAAAGTGTTCGAACTAATTACATTCCTTGGTTCCGCCATGCCACTTACATAGTCGCAAAACACCTACATCCACCCCGTATTCCATCGGCGAAAAGTAAGTTCCACTCAAGTAGTTTCTTTCCACGAACCACTGCCCTGTGGAACAAACTCTTAAGAGAATTCATCCCCGATCACTACAATCATAACCTGTTTAAGTCTAGAGTTAACTCCTATCCATATAAACTACCCATTAACACAACCTACCTCGAGTTGCCCCAGGGTCTTATATAGGGCAAATCTTAGTGTAAAAAAAAACAAAACAAAACAAAGCAAAACAACCAAAAACAGTATCTAGGGCTTTCCTACGGGGAAAATAAGGCCAATTGTTTAAAACCTTTATTTTTTTCTCAAATTCAGACAACCAATTTATTTGCATTCATAATGTAAAATCTCGTCTTACTTTTTTTTTTTTTTTTTTTTTAATTCCCACAGATTCGTGTGAATTTCATTTTTTCTCAAACCCGATTTCTTTAATAGACATAATCTTTCCATTGGCCTATTCTCGTAGAACTTTTTTTGTTCTTTTTCTCCTGACATTTTGAATACATGTAATATTTTCACAAGTTGACCATTTGTTAATCATGTATAAATGAAATCGTAGTTATTAAAAACACGAAATCTTTATGAATTTCGGTTTTCAGACAATAGTCAATGTATGGAAATGGTAATATTAGTTGTTTCTGTATAAGTCAACATTCAACACCTATTAACAAATCAGTAAATGCTACTGTAAAAAAAATCTAAACGTCTCTTTTATGAATCTTTCTATTAAAACAATTTTTCAGGAAAATAGGTTTCTCAAGTTCACTAACTGTTGTCGCTCATTCCAGTAGAGGCTTTATTCATTACCTTTTTGATTATGTCATTATTTTCTCTTCAAGATACATTTGATATTCATTTTAGTTGTTGCTGATGTTGAAAAACATCGAGTCATAGGGGTTTCTGCTATTTGGTACAGTTCGAAGAAGGATGCCCCTTGTCAAAAATAAACGTAGTAACAATTATGCATATAACAAAATCTATCTATCTATCTATCTATCTATCTATCTATCTATCTATCTATCTATCTATCTATCTATCTATCTATCTCACTCTGTTCATATCTATCTATCTATCTATCTATCTATCTATCTATCTATCTATCTATCTATCTCACTCTGTTCATATCTATCTACCTATCTAGGGTGCGTAAGGTAAGGCATAAGATTGTGCGCCTGCAGTTATATGATAATCAATGTGCTTTTATCTTTTGCAGAGCATCAATGTCGAATTATCAGCTAACGCGTGTGAGGAAACGACATGCTGCAATTGTTGCAATACACGTAAAGCACATCGATGCAGAGATTGCACGATTTTTTGGAAGTACCAGGTCTTTTGTGCACAAAGTTCGGAAGGAGTTGGAAGCCTCTAACAGAGATGTGTCGCCTGTAGCGAAGCGCAAAAAGCATTCACTGCATTCGGACATTATCACAACACCACAATTTGTACAGCGAGTGCAGGACATTGCGAATTCTGGACCGTCCAATGGGCCTATTTTCAGAGTTACCAGAGGGTACAATCCGCAATATGATACATAGAGGACATTCGGTACAACATGTGTCCCCAAATGTCTTACGCATCCTGTATATATATATATATATATATATATATATATATATATATATTTATTTGTAAACATGCCAGAACAAAATTTTTTAAAATTGTCATATATATATATATATATATATATATATATCCATTACATTCACTTACGTGCTAATACCCTTAGGAAATGTGTGAATCCTCTTTTTCTCCCTCCAGCTATTGGTAAATAGCAGGGCAGACTGGGTTCTATAGCCTTTGATGGCAACTGGTCTAGGAGAAGGAAAACTCTGAATTCAAAGCCTGCGGAGTGTCGTTTGGGGACCCTGTGGCACGTAGTGTACCAGGTCTCAGTATTCGGCCCTTCAAAAAGTGTGGATGGTCCTGCACGAAACTTTCACCACTATAATCAAATCTCATGTGCTGTTGTCGGGCTGTCGGTTTCTTAGGAACTGATCTGCTTGACCCTCATACATCGAATTCGACGGGAAGAGTCGAGTATATATATATATATATATATATATATGATTAATGTGAGAAAAGTTAAGTTTCCCAATTAACTGATTGATATTACCTTCAGCATACAGACTCCTGTCCATCTTTAGACAGTATCAGCAATTTACTACTCATATTTTTTCAATTTTTTTTCCTTTTATGCATATTTAACACTGGTGTAAGTTTTCTTCTGTATTCTCTGTCTATGTGTGTGCATTTGTGCGGCCATGCGCGCGACCCCGCGGATGTGCGCTCGTTCCCGTGAGTGCATGAACCCGTTTGCGCGGACATTCGTATCTGTAGGAAGTTGTGATCATTTTGCCCTTTTCTTGTTTCTTTTTCAGTTTACATTCACACATTTAGTATTCTTTCTTTTTTCCATTTTTTCTTTCTCCGACTGTTGGTGAATTTGACCTGGTTTGTTCCGCCTCTAATGTTGTGACCGATTTTTATTTATGGGCATTCTGTTTTTTTTTTTTTTTTTTTTGCTGGGGAAGTTGTATTTCGTTTTTTATGTTTTTTTTTTTTTTTAATATTAAAGTTTAAATGATGAATATTTTTCTGTACTTACCACTTCAAGCCAAGCACGCCGCCATATTCCTGACCAGATAGAAATTGTGACTGTGTTTTCTTCCTTTTTTATGGAAGAGTGAATTCTGCTGATAAAACGGAAGTCATTCGCGATCGGACAATAAATTGTCAAGAAGAGTCGCATGGTGTATAGTTTGGAAGACAGAAAAAAATTGTAGCTGACGGAAGGTACACAAGTCGATACCCGATCAGTATCGGCTGGGTCATCGTGGAGAGGGGGTGTATGATGTTGAAAGACCTGAAACCCCTAATGAACCTCGGCTAGAAAGCACACTGATGATGTGTACTAAAGCATCCAATAGATGTATTTTACGAAATGATACAAATAATATTAATGTATATATGGTAATTCTTGTACACACACACACACACACATATATATATATATATATATATATATATATATATATATATATATATACATGCACACACACATCCACACGTATACACACATGCATACATAAATACATAGGCATATATTTATATATCTTCATTGGACTATTATTTGTTTTTTTTAATTTAGTTTAGTGGTATCATAAGTATTAATAGTAGGTTAGATTTATAATTAAATTAGTATTGTTAGAATTTAAGTGCATATGTCTGCGTTTATACACCTATATATACGCACATGTGCACATCTATTCAGGCGCTTATATAAACATACGTATGCGTACATATGTACGCATAAACGTACGCACAAAGGTACATGTACACTGATGGCACTGCCTTGTTATTAATAAACTAGTGCTTAAGTGGTGAAGTTATTTACTTTTTGAATGTTATCATTTTGCACACACACACACACACACACATACACATATATATATGTATGCTTATATCATATCTTATTCATTTAATGTTTCTGTTTTATTTTTGATTATATTTATTGGTTAGTAGTTTATTTGTTTTGGATTTATATATATATATATATATATATATATATATATATATATATATATATATATACGTATAGATGTATATATTTAATATTTGTTTATTTGTATATTAATAAATTAAGTTTATATTTATTTTATTTATATATATATATTATTTTTTATTTTATTTATTTATTTAGAGTTTATAATATATTTTTTATTTATATTTATTTGTTTATTTTTAGTTTTTGCTTAAATGGCAAAGTAAATATTTACTTATATGCCTACATTTACCCATTATTTCAATTTTCTTGTTTAGCAGTTTATTTTGATTTTTAAAACAAATTATTGCTAAATTTTCCTCGAAGCATAATTTACAATTTTTACTGTTAATACTGTATGGAGATGCCTTTTTATAATTTTCCACTTGATTTTTGTGGGGATATTGTTTTCTTTTTGGCTCTATATGTATTTTGATAGGGTTGTATTGTTTGTGTATGTTTTCTTTCGAGAGACATTTTGTGATTATAATATATTTCTTTAAATTTTTTCTGTGTCTCCTATGTAAATTTTTTCGTTTGTGTTAATGTTATTATTTACGATAGCTTTGTATATTATGTTATTGGTTAAACATTTATTTTTAAGTGGAGAATTTTCTTTATTTCTGTAGTTACATTTAATGGTGTTATTTTGCTGTATGTTATTGTTATTGTTGTTGTAATTGCTATTGGTTTTATTGTGTTTAATTATTATTTTATCCCTGCAGCTGTAACTAATTTTGATTTGATTTTTATGGATAATTTTTGATAATTTGCTGTTTTTAGGGAAGCTTTTTCCCTATATTTGTTTTTATTGTTTTGTTATAGGGGATTGAACAAAATTATATTTGTTTTTCCGATGTTTTTGCTTGAATTGTTTTCGTTTCTTTATTCTAGTTTGTTTGAATATCCGCTGTTTCTTATGGCTGATTGATATGTATTTTTAATTTTTCATTGAATATTTTTAGGTTATTAGAATTTGTTGAAATTCTTTTATTATATGGGTATTTGTTTAAATACGTTAGTGGCTGGTTAGAATTTTTGTTAATGTATATTGAGTTTGTAGAATAACAATTTTCTTTTGTCCAGCTAGCACTACAAGTGCCACCTAAACAAAAGAAAACAGTGTTGGATGCTGTTGATGGATATCACTCCATCCCCTTAGATAAAGAGTCCCAGCCACTCACCACCTTCATCACAGAATGGGGAAGGTTCATGTACCTGAGAATGCCACAAGGTTACCTAGCATCTGGCGATGCCTACACCCGAAGGTATGATGAAGTAATAAAAGACATCCCCCGCAAAGTAAAAATCGTGGATGACACCCTACTTTATGACTCTGACATCGAAGGAGCCTTTTTCACACCTTCGATTTTCTCCTCCATTGTGCAAAAAACGGCATCGTAATAAATAGAGAAAAATTCCAATTTTGCCAAGACACGGTGCAGTTTGGGGCCTCCAAATAACATCTTCTGGTGTAACCCTTCTAAATCCATGCTGGAGGCAATATTGAGCTTCCCAATACCAAAAACACTCATCGATGCCAGATCATGGTTTGGGCTGGTCAACCAAGTCGCTTGGGCATACTCACTAAGCCCAGTCATGCTTCCATTTCGTGATCTCGTAAAACGAGATTCACACTTTACATGGAATAAAAGCCTTGAGGATGTATTCCAGCATTCAAAGAAGGTCATAGTTGACTTAGTCCGAAAAGGCATCGCAACATTTCAAAAAGAAAGAATAACCTGCCTTTCCCCAGATTGGAGCAAAGACGGAATGGGCTTCCTACTTCTGCAGAAGTATTGCTCAGCCGTCTACAATAACACGGACAAAAACCCCTCGGGCATTGTCCAGACTACTTCCGCACAACCAGCCAGGTTTAAAGGAACTCATCCCTCCCCAAAGGCCACTACCCACACGCGATGGGGGGGGGGAAGGGGATGTAGAATAACAATAATAAAAAGCACTTACCGGCGTAAGAGTTCCAACTAGCGTCCAGCTGGCAGACAAAAATAAAGCAGGTTGTAACCTAATACAAACCCTGCAAACTAACTGAGAAATCATGCTAGTATTTATATAATAATACTTCCACTCAGGTACCAGCAGCCAATCACAGCCCAAGCAATGGACTATCCCACTTTAGCATAATGCACCATAAATAGCTCTCTGTCTCAATGTTGAATTAGTGATCACTCAGCTTGCTCTACAACTGAGTGTTTATCTTGACCACAATTGTTCGACAGAGTTGTTATTTAGTTTTCTGTATTGTTTGTAGGTTCCGTTGTTTAGGTTGAATGTTATATCTAAGTAATTTAATAATTTTTTCTATTTGATTCTATATCTATTTTAAATCCTAGGGTTTTGAAGGTTTTTATCATTTCTTGTTTTATTTTTTCTGTAGTTCTGCCGTTGCATTTGCTAAAAGTAATAGACCGTCGTCTCTCTATAGACCTATATCTTTTTTTGTTAATAATATTTGTTAGTTTATTGATTTTGTATATGCATGTGTTCGCATAAATATCACCATCATGCCTACCCATTGTTACGTCAAAGTTATTATTATTATTATAATTATTGTTTTAGCTCTTTTATCGCCATATTCTCTTTTTTTTTATTGCGGTATAATATTATTTTTCGACACTGTTTAATTATATTTATGCCTTCGTCGGGTGATATTGCTGTATTGTTTTGTTAGGTTTAATATGTTATTTAATGTATGTTAATTAATAGATGGGTAGAAATCTTTTATGCCTAATTGTGTAAAGGATCAGTTTTCTTTATTACTAATATTATTAAACCAATTGATTGTGTGTGTGTGTGATTTTTTCTGCCTTCGCAAACGAAGAGCGAGGAAGATTTTCTGCGATTGTTTCAGGGTTTCCCACGTCTGCGAGAAACAAGCGGAATAGCCTCCAGGCTTGATACAGTGTGTTACATACAAGTTGATATTTATTAAGCTTACCTTAATACAATAAAAGATCAGATGGTAAGAGAAAAAATATGCTGTAATCTTCCAAGTGGAGACGGGGAGATAACTGTCTAGAAAATCAGCATTCAAAGGCACAACTTTTACCTGGGCTTGAACACCACTCGTTGGTGCGAAGTTGTCCCAACAAAATATTATATTGGTTTAATGCTTAATGTGCGAACTAGATCAGAGATATATCTTGAGATTTTAATATATTCTAGAATTGTAATAATTTCTTTGCTGTTACTTGTATCCTGTTTGTTTATATATTTTGCTTTTTTTTACTTCCTCGACGACATGTTTATATCAGTAGATCATCTTTATCCGCGGTTTTGTGCTCCACAGTTTCAGTTACCTGCGGTCAACATCAGAAATAACCAATACATACGTTTTACTTACGAATAGTCATAAAGCACACGAGTAATTATAGTAGCATTTCGAGAACACCAACGTGAACCCGTAAAGTGCAGCATGTATTCCTCATGCTAAGTCTATTATTTCTAAAGATTTCATACCCTTGTTTATTCAGACAGAGAAAATCCCCTCAAAACTTCAGCACCCTCTTCTATATGCCATAGTCTGAATTGTTTCATTCATTCCTCGAATCTTCAATTCCTCAAATTTTGCCTCTTTTTGGTACTTGGCATGGTTCCAAGTGCTCCATTTAATCTAGGCACAGCCCGAACATTCACGTTCCACAGATTTTTCAGTTCTGGAGTAAAGTCCTCGTTGGCAGACTTTCTTTTCCTTATTGACAACTTCCAGACCTAGACTTCTCGCTTGGATGGGGTAATTGGCCTGGATTTCAAAGTTCCAGAGTATTTTCTTATTTTATTTTATCGACATATACTGAGATTCCGTATTTGTTTATTTTGGCTTTGAGATTAATTGGTTTTGATTGTTGCTTATCTAATATGATTAGATATTCTGTTTCCTTTTTAGATGTTCTCTGCGTAACCATGTAAATGACTTCACCGGTGATATTTTCTTATTTAAAATTCTCCAGTGAGACTTTTCTCTTCAAATTTCTGTTAATGGTTTTCCTCGCTATTCCCGTGTTTGTTATCCAATTATCGATTTCTTGTCTTACAGTCGGTTGTCATTATTCTATGTTGATAGTATTTTGCGACTTCCATAATAGGTTATTGAGCACAATTTTCGATACTGAAAAGGTTATTTATTCGCCTTCCCAGGGTAGCAAAATGTGACACGCGGTATTCTAATGTGGGGTTGCCTTACTCAGTTCCTGCGACTGCTGTCACACTGGCGCCGATATTCCACCGACTGTCCCACTTTTAGTGCAATGAATAGGTTATTGCTTCAGGGTTGAAATATCCGGGACAGCGGCTTCTTCATTAATTACAAGCAGAACAGATACTCCGCACTGATCCCGGCCAAGAGCCTCCTTCCTAATAAGACGTCGGGATTTCTCATCTGAAGAGAAGCTGGTTAAATTTCTTCGGGTATTAAAGATCTTTCCGGGGGTGGGGTTGACCCGGAGGATGTAAAAGTTAATGACATTTATGTTGCTCACCTTAAACTGTGATGTAGCTTATCAGATAAAGTTTCGGGTGGTAATTTTCATGATAGTATTTCCAACTGGCGCCAGTGATCGCTTTATGAGCTTGAGTAAAAGGTCGCGATTTCGAATGGCGATTTTAAGGACAGGCAACTCTTTCCCCTTTAGGAATTGGCAGTGGGCAATTGTTTTACCTATTCTTCAGTTTGACCTTGTAAGGTAAAAAAAAACAAAAAAAAAAAAAAAGACAAAAAAAAAACAAGCTTAGTGTGGGGACCTACCTACAAATGGACTCTTCCACACCTATATAATATGGCTACCAACTCTGAGTAAAGGGTGTCACCAGGTGAGGGTCACCGAGTAGTAGCCATAGAGTGAGTGTATGAGTGAGTCAGGACACCAGTGCGAGAAAGTACTCTCCAGTCCACATTTACCTTTGTACTACGTTTCCGAGAATATATTATTTAACCTTATATCCGAGTTCGTGTTATCTTTCTGTTTCCACACCATAACATTTAGTAAATACCAAAACCTCAAATGAAACTCATATATACAACCCATCACTAAATATACTGAAAAATTACCGGTTCCTTGTGACGCTCCAGAAAGTACTCAATATCTTTTCATGCCTTTATCTACAAGAGCTAGATCAGTCCAAATATAAAGTATTGCCTCATTGTTTGAACTGGAACTGCACAATCCACACTTTGCAGATTTTCCATATTTAAAAGCATTTACGTGGCTTTGTGGCTGATGAATTATTTTCAAATCTAAAGCCTATTTCCTATGAAAGAAATGTCACAAGTCTTTTGTTATTTCCATAGCAAATGTTCAGATGAGTTAAATGTTCTATCAGTTCAGATCTTCACAGTGAGGATCCTCCATTCTACGCACACAGAGTCAACTTATCCACATTCTGTTCTTATTCCATTGGTGAGTAGGAAGTTCCATTCAGACAACTTCTCAACAACTTTATGAAATAGGCTCCCAAGATGATGCTTCTCCAATCTCATCACATCTATGAAAAGAAAGCAATTCATAGCATTTACCATCAAAATTAAATCGCTTCCATATTTAAGCTGACAATGATAAAAGAGAAGCATAAGAGGCACATGCTTCAACTTGGCGACATATCAGATTTGACCTTCAATTAACTTGCCTGTCGTCTCATCATATGTCATAAAAGTGAAGTGAATATTTATTATTATTATTATTATTATTACTTTGCAATTTGGAAAGCAAGTATTAAGCCGCCCACCTTGTGCAATTTTTCAAGATATTATCATTAGCATTTCCCACTAGGATTTTCATTTTCCCTTGCTCGTTCTCGTCTTCAGCTAATTTCAGATTTATTTTGTCGATGAATAAATAGCAATTTGCCTATTTCATTAATTTAGTCAACCGATGACACATTGATGAATGAACGCAATTTTATCCTTTTTGGGACAACAGCTATCTATCCTAGATATAATTATAATCTTCACTTATTTTCTCCTCTTATGGCAATATAATACCTTCATTCACTAATCATCTACCTCGAGTGGCTCTTTTTCTGGTTTTGAATTGGGTGGGCATTTTATTTAAAAAAGCACAGATTCTCTTTGCGCTGCTATTCTATCTTATCGTTCATCCTTTGCGAGTTAATATGTTTTTTTTTGTATTAATATAAAATCTGAGAGAACAAGAAATCGGATAATAAAAGCCTGGAGGAATGCGCAGACGCAAAGGAAACCGGAAGAAACGGTGGAATGAAAAAAAAAAAAAAAAAAAAAAACAAATCTGCAGGGATGAATAAAAATAAAAATGGAAGGTAAGATGGTTGCCAGATATGAAGTAAAATTAACAGAAAAAAGAAACAGAACTGGAAGGTGACCCTGGAGAACGTAAAGCACGCAGTAACAGCAATTTTGTATGCCGCTATGTAGGCAAGTCAGAAAAATTTGCCTGAATCATAGAGGTAATCATATTACAGAGAATGTTGGGATTTCCCTTTGCCCGAAAGAAAATCCCTTCCTTGCGAGCAACACTATTTTTAAACTTCAATTCTAATTCTAGATATGAAAAAGCAGAATAATAAAATATTCTCTCTTTACCCCCCATCTCTCTCTCTCTCTCTCTCTCTCTCTCTCCACCTATCTATCAATATACACGCACATACAGACACATACGTGTACGATGTCAGAATTTATTATGCAATCCAATATTTTCATTGTAAAATTGGTATTAACCAACCAATGCTTGTACAACATTCAGGACATTGTTATATTTATATGAGCAATGTATCATGTGAATTTCAACTTGTTGAAATATTGATAAATTGTTTAGGCGCATTAAATTTTATTATGTAAAACCATTCTAAATTTTTATTTATAAGTAAATAAATATATATATATATGTCATGGAAACATATAATATCTCATAAATCTTAGCAAATTATCATTTTATCATTTTACATATTAATATGAAGTTCTTGACATTTTATAACACACATCAGCTTTTCTACCATTGATTTTATCAACTTTTCTAATCATTCGAATTTAACTTTATTTGCATTTAAAATAAAACTGTTTGAATATTATTTTCCATCAATATTAAGGATAGACCGTTTATAAATATAAAAGTGGACATTGAGGTTAACACTCAGCGGTGACAATCTGTTTCATGTTTAAACGCAATCTTCAGCCCATTTACGCTGTGTTTTGGCTCGTCTATTTATATATGCTGGTCTATTGTATTATTCTAACAGTTATTGGACGGTAATGGTTAAATTTTAAATTATTCTAGGGGTTATTGAGTAGAAATTATTGTGGATCCGAATGCAGTTTTGTGCTTATTTTATAGTGTTGTTTATTTATGTCTATGCGTGCATTCGTAGTTTGTTAATTTATTTACTTATTTATTGAATTGGATTAATTTATTTTGCTTATTGATTTATTTTTATTCGTGTTTCATTTTATTTTATTTATTTTCGTTTGGGTGCGTAGTTTCTTTGTTTCCGGTGTATATTTTACATCGTTATCTGCTAATTTAACAGTGGCTTGATATATGACATTGTTCTGCAAGCAACTGCCGTTTAAGGGATATTCGTAATTTGCTCTGAAGTTACCCGTGAGTTCGATTTGTGCGGGTGGTTTGTTGGTTGTTTTCCAGTCCTGCTTTTATATTATTTGTGTAATGTTATCGGTACAAGTGTAGCTGATTTTGATTGTGTTTTGACCGGAAGAAGTATTTGTGAATGAGTTTAATGAATATTTTTTGTACATTTCTTTTTACGCTTTTGTGTACGTTGGGTTGAACCATATGATATTTCTTTTCCCGTTTCTTCTTTGTACTGTATGATGTGTATGCAAGTGTTGCCGAAAACCCATTATCTCTTAGGGCTGTTTCATAATTATTCTAATAATATATATATATATATATATATATATATATATATATATATATATATATATATATATGTATGTATATATATATATATATATGTATGTATGTATATATATATATATATATATTTATGTGTATGTGTGTATGTATGTGCATGTGTATGTACACGTATGTCTGGGTGTGTGTGTGTGAGTACATGCCTAAGTGTATGTACCTACTTGTATGGGTTTTTTTTTTTTTGTGTGTTTTAAACATAGAAATATTTGGTCCTTGCTAAATAAGACAATCTTTATATTCACCTTCATATATTTATATTTGATTCTAACCTGGAGTCTATACTAATTTTCTCAATTACAAAGCGGCCCTTTAAGTAAACACAATTTTTTTTTTCCTTCGTCCCATCTCTCTCCCCCACCTCTTCTCTTTCTTTTTCCCCCTACTTCCTATCCTAACTTCTAATTGTCTGTGATGTATGTATGTCACCACGAAATGTATCTTTATGCATTAGACATCCGTCGACTTTCTTTCTCTCTTCTTTTTAAATTCCCCCACCCCACCCACATCTCCTAGAATTCTCTCTGTCCCTCCTCCTCATACTTACTCTTTCTCTAAATTCGTTTTTGATTTCCGGAGTTGTTTTTTCTGTTTTCATTTTGAATTTGTAGGTCTGATGATTTGGATCGTATTTACGATTCCAATGGAATAAATTATGACCATGGAATATTAGTGTTTAAGCCTTTTTATTATATCCTTACTCTGTCCTAGACATTGAGTTCTACCTGGATCCTTCCTCTTGGAAAAATTTTTTTTTCTAAAAATATACATGTATGGAAATTTTTTAGATATATTTTTCATATGTATGTATATTTTCCACTAATATTATCTATATATATATATATATATATATATATATATATATATATATGAACGACGTAAATCTCCATTCATGGAAGTTCTATTATCCCAGTGTGGGATACCTACTAGTAAAAGTGATGGAAAGAAAAAGAAAAAGTCTCTAAATAAATACAGTTAGATATAATTAAAAAATTGTAATAAAAATTCTGAAATGCCCAGCACCCCTCATTCGTGCGCATGTGCAGTCGTACCTACATAACAAATTTAGTCCGATGAAGTCCTGAACTCCTAAAGAACGAAACAAGTCACAAGTAACTATTTCCTCTTTGTCATACAATTTCCCTAATTTTGTTCTTGATAAATAAAAATATATATCGTTATCGCATGCACACACACATACACACACACACACACACACACACACACACACACATATATATATGAAGAAATATAGTTTTAAAGCGTGCTATATTTATGGGATAAAGTGCTCAATATCAGAGATAGAGCGTGTGTAAATATAAATATAAAAGTGAACATTGACGTCAAAGGTCCTATCCGTAGAGACTGATCAATCTATGCGAACTATCAAACAAGTTACCAAGCGTTTTTCGTGTCTTGTCGGACTTTCTGCACATCTGTTGAAATCAATGTGTTAAAAAATAATGTCTAATTTTCTATTAATATTTTTGAGGATGCTGTTTTGTGACTTAAGTTCTCCTAACTTTGGTGTGACACACACATGTATATGAATATATTCATGCCTTTCTCAAGGGCATTAGTGCGGAAGTGAACGCAACAGAGTCGACTAGAATTTGAACTTGACTCGCCAATTTTACTATCCGCACCGATAAGCAATACATTACCAACAAAAGACAGGAAGCTGTAGCTGTATAACTCACATCCTGAGTGGACATGGCATATAGACAGGAAAAGAGTAAGTGAGAGGGAAAGAAAAAGTGAGTGTGTGTATGCCTCTGTGTGTGTGTGTATGCCTC